CCCCAAAACCCCAAAACCCCAGATTAGTGATTGGAATATAATTGTGCAATGGTGCCATTTAAATGTAATATACTTTACTAACTAAAAATATAATGGCTAAATTATTTATTATTATTAGAATAATCAATATTCAGTAATCAGTTTGTAGTCGCCAAAGGTAAATTTCTAGGTATTATAATCTCAGAGTACTCTCTTTGCAATGGCCTTAATGGGACAAACATCTCCCAAATACTTTCAACCAAAAGCATCTCTTTGATATTAGCCAGGCATCCCTTATATTTATAGGGGTGAACTTTGAAGTCTAATTGCAATTCATAGCCAGTTTGATTGCTGATCAAAAGCTTAATATTAATCAGTAACATTATGACACAACAGAAGTATATACCAAAAGATAGGAATGTGACAGCTGTCAGATTCAGGGAGTAGAACATCATCTCGATCAGTTCTAGAGCATCAATAGTAAAGAAATTAGTCATCATCAAGATAACATAGCCACAAGCATTAGACATGTAAAGCAGATACAAGTTAAAGTTCTTGAAGTTATATAAGCCTATGCAGTTGCCCATCCAGAAACAATGATGATCAATGCGCAAAATGCAGCAATTGCATACTTCACAGTGATACGCTCTGGGTGGCTGGAGCTAGTCACAGCTCTCACAGTACTTGAATTAGCTTACTACCGGCAGTCTTGCTTCAACACCCTATGTATCCAACACCATAGAGTTGTTTTATGTATTAGTACTATGTGTTGAGTTAAAAGCTTGTAGATCCTTGCCCGCATTTTGCTGATAGTGCTCACTCTAGAGAACGATTTGTCTGTTAAGTTCAAATATTAATAATCTATTTCTGTTCAACTCTCTATGAGAATCACCACTACTACTCATTTCTAGATTCTCTGTGCTTTCATCAGCATTCTATGGTATCTCTAGTTTCAGGTTTAACTTGATTTACTCTATTAAATCTGTGGTTACTTTACCTGGATCTGTTATAAAAGTTTGTATAAGGGAGATAGCTGCTAAGCCATAGAGGATACTCAAAGTGAATAAATGTAAAGGATAGTACTGCTAGGAAACGTTAGGTAGGAAAATTATCAGTGTGATCATATAGTACAAAATCACAATGATTTATATTGCTATCATTGGAAATGAGAGTAAATTTCTCATTGTTGCTATTTCTTTTATTTTCTCCATTTTAAATGATATTCTTATTTTATTTAGATATTTCTTGATTTAAAGTAATTTATATCACGGGGTTTTGGGGTTTTGGGGTTTTGGGG